TTGAGCATCCACCAACAATCATCACCAATGCCAATTCGTTTTATATATTAATGATCTACATGTTGTCTAGGTCTCAAATATGTAAAAATGACAATGAATCAATGCATATCCAGAGTGTAAGGTTGAATTGTAAATACCTAGTGGAGAACTTCCACTGAGCCTTCAATTGATGCTTAAGCTTGCAGAAAAATGTCCAGAATCACTCAACAAACTTCAATAGAGCTTTTGCAATTCACAATTTGGCTTGAAATGGCTTGTATCTCCAGATTCGAATTTCAAATTTTCTCCACTTTTTCAAAGTTGTTCTTGAGAAATTGGCCTCCAATTTTCAGTTCTGATGAGTTGTTCATGATCAAAACCTTATATGTGATGGATCTGGAAAAGAATTAAGCCCAATGACAGCTTGTAGAGCCCAATTGAAAATTCATGGAATTTGAGTTTGGAGCTCTCTCATGTGCACGAAAATCCCTCTAATTTGGCTCCAAAATGCTTCAAATTGCTTGATGGGAGTGTATGGAATGTGAATGGCTAGGATTTAGCCCTTGTTTAATCTCAATGGTTGATGTTTGTTGTGTAACTTCATGATGAAGTAAACTTGGAAATGGCTCACCAAAACACATCAAACTCAAATTCTAAAATTGCCAATGTGTTTAAAACATGATTTTCACTCAAAATATGTATATATTTACACCAAAATGATCAAAAATGAATTAATTCCCATTTTGCCCTTTTAAGCTTTCTTCCATGAAAATTCTCCCATCAATTCTTCATTCCAAGCCTAATCCATAACTTCTCAATGTTTGGTTAAACAAATAACACCATTTGGAGCAAGTTTGATGTTGGAAAAATCTTCATTTGAAGTGTGCAAGTTGATGAAATGGACCTATAATTTTATGATCTATAATCTCACTTTCCCAAAATACCCCTGACTTGCAAGCCTCATAACTTGAGTTCTACAAATCAGATGAAAGACTTCTAGTACTTTTGGAAAGCTAAGACCAAGACCTACAACTTTCATATTGTCCAAAAGGTGAGGAGAAACATCCTTCTAGGTCAAAAATGGCTTGGAAGTTGGTTGACTTTTGTTGACCAAAATCACATTCATCTAATGACCTGTAACTTGTCTGGATCATAACTTGAGTTCTATAAATCCAATCAAGGACTTCTAGTACTCAAAAGAAAGCTAAGAACATTATCTACAAGTTTCATGTTGGTAAAAAGTTGAGATGAAACTTGTATCTTGAGATAGGTGGTCTTGAAGTTAGGCACTAAATAGGGGATTTTACCCTAAGAACCCTAATTTAGTAACTTCTCACACACTTGATCCTTGATGAATTGAAATTGAAATGATGTCTCATGTATCTTAACACAACATCCCATGAACATAGAGACTTGAAATTGAGTTTTAATCTCCTTCAATTTCACAACTGACTGAGGATTAGCCAGATGAAAACCTTAGATGCAACACCTTCAACTGTAACCTTTCACACTTAGCACAACTACTTGGATGAGGTCCACAATGACCCTCAAGGCACTCAATGAGGTCTCTCAACATCTTATATCCATTCTCATGAATTCACAATCCTCTGATGATCTTCAACTGGCCTCCAAGTTAGGAGCTGACCCGCATACATCCATCCTTTCTTTCACAAAGCCACTGCCCACTTCTAGATGACTTGATGACCATTCAAAATTGAGTAACACCCCTTGCTTAGGCTCAAACCCTCTGAGTAGACTCATCCTGATACACACAACCTCTTGATCCCCTGTTCAATGAAAAATGTTATGCAATGCAAATGCTAGAAAGAAATGAAATGAAACACAAACCAAGTTAAGAAAAGGTTGGGAAAATTTTGGGGTGCAACACTACTAACCATATTTTTTTACCAGACATGTGATTCAAACAGCTTAAATTGAGGAAACAGATCTTGGATTCAACATGGTCATCTTTAACTGCAGCCATAACCACCATATCATCTGAATCATCTGAATTTCGATGTGCAAGATTCGCTCCTTCGTCATTGCCTTTTGTCGAACCATTGTCTTTCCTGTACCAATAATGCTTGGCCAAATGACCATATTTTTCACAGTTATAGCATTGTACACCTCTTTTCTCTACTTTGTCTTTCTAATAGGAATTTCATTTTCCTCTTTTTAAGGATTTAGAAGTTCTATCATCGATATTATTCTTGTGAGGATTCAACTAAGACTTTTTGCCCTGAGTCTTGTCGATTTTTCCTTTGAACTTATTGGAACCACCATTCTTCTTCCACGGTTGCACTTGCAGTTCTTGTATCGAATCTTGAACTCCTTTCCTTTCGACAATCCTAATCTCACGCGCTTCCAACGAGTCAACCAAATCTTCCAGTTTTAGGGTTTCAAGATTGTTGGATTCTTGAATAACTACGATAACACGATCAAAGTGAGAGATCAATGTACCCATTACCTTCTCAACTATCATCTTATCAGTTAGGGTTTCACCACAACCCTTCATGAGATGGACGAGTTTTTGCACCTTTGACACATAGCCTACAATCTTTTCATTTTCTCCCATTGAGGACAATTCATATTGTCGTTGCAACGTTTGCAACTTAATGACCTTAACTTTCATGCCTCATTCATAGTACTTGACAAGAATATCCCACGCCTCCTTTACCGATTCAGCATGAGCGATTTTGTCGAAGTTATCTGTATCAACCGCCGATTGGATGTAGAACGTCGTCTTGCAATCCTTCTTCTTGCCATCCTTGTGAGCGGTTCTCTGTGCTTCGGTTGCATATTCACCAAGCGAAAAAATTCCATTAGTAACAACTTCTAGGGTTTCATGAAAGCTAAATAGAGATTGCATTTGTTTTCTCCATCGAAGTCAATTCTTGTCGTCAAGAGTTGGAAGGGAGTTTGGTAAATTTCCGTTACCATTCATTTTTTCAGCGATTGATCAACAATAATCCATAATTCTGGAAACATGATCTCTGATGTGTGATTCTTGAAAACACGATCAAGAATCTAATCAGAGCTTTATATACCAATTTGTTAGTGTGGGAGACACTTTTAGTGAGGAGAGAAAAAGAGAGAATAAAGAAATAAGGATTTATTGAATTAATTGTTGTAAATAATGATACATAATATGACTATTTATATATAACCTTAACTGGGCTTGGGCTAACACAACTTGGATTATATTTAAATATTAAATCTAATTAAATCTAATCTAATATAATCGAATATTTCAACCATGTGCGGGTAAATGAAACCTAGCCACGTGACTTAAAGATTTTAAATATTTAAATTATGTTTGGAAGTTGATTTTATCATAAAGATTGAAGCATTTGAAACTAATATGAAAAAGGATTTAAAAATGTTATTTAAGAAAATAAGCATCTCCTAAAAGATCTCTATTTTCAAGGTCATCAACTATTATATAAAAAAGACATAAAGTAATATGTTTTGAGTGGGCTAAATGAGTGTCAATATTGATTCGTTTATCCAAGATTTTTAAAGCATAAGTTTAAGGAAAAAAGTAAGTAATCTTTGTTTGATGAAAAGATACAAGCAAAGAAATTCAGAATTGGAAGTCCATTTTCACATCTTGACATTCAAAAAACGTAATTTCATCTCTCTCTCTCTCTCTCTCTCTCTCTCTCTCTCTCTCTCTCTCTCTCTCTCTCTCTCTCTCTCTCTCTCTCTCTCTCTCCTCTCTCTCTCTCTCTCTCTCTCTCTCTCTCTCTCTCTATTATATATATATATATATATATATATATATATATATATATATATAATATATATATATATATATATATATATATATATATATATATATATATATATATATATATATATATATATATATATATATATATATATATATATATATATATATATATATAGACACACCCTAGTGAATACCAAACAAGTCTTTGAAAAAACTATTATGAGTTGGTCAAATGTCCAATATGGAGACCCATGAGTTTAGCTCAACCATGCATAACTCAATAAAAATGATCCAAGATATATAATAAATACACGTGAGATATAATATACATTTTTTTATTTATACTTTTCACTTCATTCATCTTATATTTTGTAATTGATTTGGACGTTAGAGTATTAATTTTATAAATCTACATCATACCACCACATCGAAGATCAACACCACCTATTTAAAAGTCTAAACATATTCAATGAACACTAATTTTAGTTCCTTAACCTAACAATATTTATAATCACGATATTATACTAACATACCATTAGATGAATAAATAGAAGATTACATATTTGAAGATGCGCTTATCCAATCAAATGTTATTACAAATTTATCAACTAACATGATTTAACATAATAAATTTAATTTTTTTATTAAATATTTTGTGTCTATTTCATTTTAAGACTTTGAGTAAATATTTAATGTCTATTTCATTTTAAAATTTGGAGTAAATATTTCGTGTCTATTTCATTTATATGGTTGTGATTTTACCCAAAGTGAATGTCCTTTTATGATCAAAAACATCATAAGTAAATTACTAGTACTTATTTAGAACGTAAGTGGAAATGACTATTACAACAACACCGTTGCGTTACCATAAAGAGAATTTGTACGATAGCAAAGAAATGTGTAATCGCTTATAATTTACACAATCATAAAAATATTAAATACAAACTTAATCATAAAATATAAAACTCCCTAACAAAAAATATCACAAACTCCTTTAATAACATTGTAATGAGGGAACACGACTACGCGAGCACCACCGAAACATTTTCCTAGAAGTAGAACCAATATTTTTACTGCCACTTGTCATTGCCATCTTGCCATTAGTCAACAAACAACTGCCCACCCAAACTTTTATAACATCTCCAATTGGACCCTTTAGCACAAAGTAATGTACGACCAATAAAAATCTAAATTACAAAGTCCGTACAAATCTAATCTAGAAAATATAAATAAAAAACTTAAAGTAAGAAGAATACAAAATGAAATTCAATTATTATCATCATAGTTATCACAAATCTGTGGTAGGATTGGGAGTAGGAGAAGAAGAAGAGTTATGATCAATTTTCCTCAAATGAATCCCATGTTTATGTGTCTCATCTTCATAAGCATAAGCAAAACCACCATGTCGGGTCAAATCCATACCCGCAAGTTCATCTTCAGCTGAGATCCTTAACAACTTCATTTTATTCAAAGCAAAGAAAAGAGGACCCATGGTTGCACTAACCCAACCAATTATAACCAAAATTTGAATCACATGTGCCCCTAATAACTTCCCTCCACCACCCATAAATAACCCATAGGGTCGGTCCAGTTTACCAGGATAAACCTGGTTCACATACTCCTTTTTAGCAAACAAAGCCGTGAATATTATACCCCACGCGCCACATCCTCCGTGAAGCTGCGCTGCTTCTAATGGATCATCGTAACGCACCTTTTCCGCGAGTACGTTACACGAGATCAGAACCACCGCGGCTATGAATCCACACACGATGGCGGCCCATGGCTCCACGACGGAACACCCGGCGGTTATTGCTGCGAATCCGCCTAATAGCCCGTTACACACATCGGTAACGTTCCAGTGACCGGAGAGAATTCTTTTCCCAAAAAGCGTAGTCAACGCCGCCGTACATCCTGCCAGTGTTGTCGTCACCGCTGTTCTCCCCACCGCACTCCATTGCCCATAATAAGTACCTAAAATAGCATATCACAATTTAAATCTTATAAAAATTTCAGCAAAAACTATGTTTCAAATCTATAAATAGAAATTACAAAATTCAATTTATACATTTCTAATTAAAATTTAAAAGGAGAAAAAAAAACAAAAATTAATTTTTAACACAATAGCTTGTAATTGATTTGTTTATAGTTATAGAGTAGTTACCTGATTCATACGGGTTTAGAATCTTGGTGAAGGAGCCAGGGTTGAAACCATACCAGCCAAACCAAAGCATGAAAGTTCCAAGAACAACTAGAGAAGCGCTGTGTCCACGAAGAGTGACGGCTCGACCGTTATGATCAAACCGTCCGATTCGCGGACCTTCTATAAACGCTCCCCAAAGACCAGCAATACCACCAACCATATGAACAACACCGGAGCCAGCGAAATCAATGACTCCGGTGCTAAACAAGAGGTTATCGGTGTTGGTTGCGCTAGCCCAACCATCACTGGACCAAAACCAATGAGAAACAACCGGGTAAACAAAACCAGTGAGAAAAGAGGAGTAGATAAGATAAGCAACGAACTGTGTTCGTTCTGCGATAGAGCCGCTGGTGATGCCGGCAGCTGCTATGGCGAAAGCCCACTGATAGAGAAAATAACTGTAATCAAAAGTTTCTGATGGAACGTCTTTGAGGCCGAAGAAATGTTTTCCGATGAAACCGTTTGAAGGTCCACCGAAGGCAAAGGCGAAACCGAAGAGATAGTAAAACAGGCCACCGGCGGCGGCGTCTAGAACGTTTGTAAGCATGATGTTCATGGTGTTTTTGGCTCGAACTGAACCGGCACAGAGCATAGCGAAACCAAGTTGCATAGAGAAAACAAGATAAGCTGAGAATAGAAGATACGTGTTATCCACCGCGTATTGTGTGTCGACGAACTTTTTTCCCACCGCTGTAAACTGGCTGCAGATGAAATCTGCGGCGGCTACGGCGTTTGTAGCGTTGGGACCGATGAGCTGCGCTAGTTGCGTAGCTGAACATTCCGGCAGCGACATGTTTGGGAAGTAGGCGAGTAACGAAGGTGCTTGGAAAGAAAAGCGCGTTCTATTGATGATGGATTGAATAATAATTGTGTGAATATATAGAAAGAGATTATTTGTAAGTGGCAAGTGCGAAGTTATTTTTTCTTATAGTCTTTTGATTTATGAGTGGGAGAAGACTTTTCAAAGTTTGTCATTTTATTTAGAGGTCAAATCAAATATAAAGAAAAAAAAAAACTTTATATCCTTTTTACATTGCTTTTCTTGAAATGTTTTAAGCATTATTTTACATTTTTAGTTTCAAGATTGAATAAAAATACTACACCTATCATTTTACTAGGTAGTTTAGAGGGTTAGTTTGTTATTTTTTTATTTTACCAGCTAATAAAACAAACTTATTTAAAAATTATTTTATAATATATATATATATATATATATATATATATATATATATATATATATATATATATATATATATATATATATATATATATATATATATATATATATATATATATATATATATATATATATATATATATATATATAACTGCCTTGCTACTTTTCTGACGTGGAATGCGGAGGAACGTAAGATACGTTGGAGGTATGCATCACCCACTTCCATATCACTAAAGGTCTAGTGGTTAGGAGAATATCCAAGAAATTTGATAGATACTTGATTTGAATTCGGGACGTCACGTTTCATAGTGGTCGGATTGATGGGGATATGACCGACTCGGAGCAGTACGATGAGTTCTCTTCTTATAGTGGTTGGATCTCCAAAAGTGTGGCCAGATCGAGATGGATATGGTCGACTCGGAATAGATTTCCACTAAGCCCATGTGTTTAAGGAATAAGCACGAGAGTTTGAAATATTTGAGATAGTTGTTATCGACCGTACTTTATTTGTTTCAGTTGAAATTCTGGTAACCAGAGACTAGATGTTGAGTAAGATGTCACGACACTGGAATCGGGACAGTATGACAACAAAAACAATTATGCAATTAAAGTAAGTGACTGAATGTAAATAACACAGTCAATTGTTAATCCAGTTCGGTGCAACATCACCTACATATGGGGGCATCCAAGCCAGGAAGGAAATCCACTATAATAGTATTAGTTTGAAGCATAAATAAACAACTTCCGATTTACAATATTCTCACCTAATCACTACATGTGCTATTTCTATCTAAGACACTCCTAGATATGGGACCCCTCTCACTTTTTTCCAATCGCACAATAGTGATAAAACCAAGAACAATGAACAATATAAGACACACTTTCAATGACACATAATTCACTCTTGCTTAAAAGCTTATCAATGATTACAACTCAAACACAGTCCAATTCAAGCACCTAAGAGGTACATGAATGGCTCACAAATGCATAATGAACACTTTCTAACTCAGATATCAAAGTATTATAAAAGTGGATCACAAATAACAAAGTTACACTAAATCCTAAAACTCTTCTTTCAATACACAGCTTCGATACTTCATTAGGTTTAGAGTAACTCTTTTTATAACTTCAGATCAGCATGGGCTTGGGCTCTTTATCTAAATAAAACGCATCTCTCAAATAGCAGCTGCAAACCATGTGCATGAAAATAGGAACAAAATAGAAAGTTTCCTAAAAAGTCTCCAAGATATTTTTTATGAAATAAATGCACTTCTGGCACATAACTGATGTCCTAAAATAACCATCATTGGAATGCGACAAAGTGTGGACTAGAACCATATAAAATCTCACACTGATTTTCAAACTGATTTGCATCCAAAGCTTTGGAGAAAATATCAGCCAGTTACTTCTCAGTGGCCACATGTTCAAGAGTAATAATTTTGTTCTCAACAAGATCCATAATAAAATGATGAAGAATATCAATATGCTTTGTCCTTCTATGTTGAACGGGATTTTTAGAGATGCTGATATCACTCAAATTGTCACAGTATAATATCATGACATCTTGTTTGATATTATTCTCTTTTAAAATATGCTTCATCCAAATCAGCTTGGAGCAGATGCTTTCTGTTGCAATATACTCAGCCTCAACAGTGGATATGGACACACAATTCTGCTTCTTGCTCAACCAAGATATAAGGTTGTTCCCTAGAAAGAAACACTCACTTGAGGTGCTTTTCCTATCATCAGCACTACCTACCAAATCAACACTATAATATCCAACAAGCATTGTATCAGAACCATGAGAATATAACACACCATAGTGTTCGAACTGCAGTAAAGCGGCAAGAAGCAAAAATTTAGTTTTGGAAGGATTCCTCTCGGTATTTATATCGTCTCCACAGGGATATGTGCGAGGGAAAGAATGTCGTTCAACAATCTCTACATTTTTAAGCTTGTTATGACAATTTTTTTGGAAGATGAAAGATACAATAGATAAAAGCGGAAAATATAAAGACATAAAATATAAAGTAAAGACAGAAAATATAAACACATCCTTGTTGGGATTGGATCTTATCAATTAATAACACATGCATTCTTCTAACCAGTTAAACACAAACCAATCATTCGTATGATATCCTTACATATCACCCACAACAGATGTTATGTCTAACGCAACATCGAGAGAACAACCGTATTCTCTCATTGGTGATGTCTCACGCAACTTAACAACACAGGGTATTAAGAACTGATACTCAAGAAAATGCTAAGCCTAAATCTATGTCTAAAGTCTAGAACCTAACAGATAATCATCCTAGATCCAGATCTGAAGAGTATATTTCTATAACGATTCAAATCAAAGATAAACAAGTAAACCAAGATAACATTCATATCAGCTTCATGATTGATTCATATAAAACGCCATGATCATAACACATTCATATGCTTAACCCTTTTTACATGCATTCACCTGATTTTCTAAATGTATGTGAACATAGTTCTTCATCTCTATTATCACGCATCCTCACAATACCATATTGATCCAACTCATGCTACTCACGCTATTAATCAACACAATAAAATAGAAGATACAAGTGAATATCAACTTACAAAACCATGTCAAAAGTTTGCTCATTGATAGATGAATATCTAAGATCTAAGATTTGAAAAAGGTTTTATCAAGACCCACAAATAAGAAATCAAAGACAACATCAATATTGAATCAAAAATAGTTCACAAAATATATATTAGATGAAATGCATAAGGTATCAAAAGATTACATCCAAACCCAATAAGAAATCGAAGCTCTTACCTTCTTCCTCTTAGGGTTTGTGTTTCTCTCTCTCTCTAGAATATGCTTGGAATGAAGAGAGATAAATTTCTATTCTGAAAATTATAATATATGTTTCTAAAAAGCAAGAAAAGTACTTAAATAGTATTTACAAAATCTGTCTTGTTTGCCTAGCGAACACCTTATTCGCCCAGTGAAGACCACTTTAGGCACTTCAAGTGCCTCAGGAACAGTTAAACCGCCCTTGGAAAATATCTAAGTTTGTCGTGCGAGCACTTCTTCGCTACAGCTTCGCCCAGCGAACTTTTTTCCCTTTTCCTATTGCCTCTAATCTAGGATGGTTCACTGAGGCTTCGCCAGGACATCACACAACGAGTATTTGCGTTGACCTCGCTGGTGTTCGCACAACGAACATGTTGATTCCTCTTCATTTCTTTGACTTCCTTGTCCAATCATTTATGTCTTAATATTTGATGTTTTATGTCTTAATCTTGCACAATAACACATACTTCAAAGAATCAAAGGTATTTGCAATATAATTGAAGAATCACACAAGAACAAGAAATAAATCTATTAAAACATGAGAATTGAGTTGAAAAATGCAAAGAAAGATGGTTTGATTTAAGTCAAAATTTTCACTTAACACATAGTCACTTATACCATTAACATACTTCAAAATCCTCTTCACTTGATTGATGTGATTGGTTTTGGGCTAAGCTTGATATCTTTCACAAACACCAACAACAAATGTGATGTTAGGTCTACTAGTTGTGAGGTACAACAGGCTACCAATCATGCTTCTGTATAGACTTTGATCCAGATTAACACAATTTACATCTTTAGAGAGGTTCAAATGAGTAGGTGCAGGTGTCCTCTTGTAACTAGCATTCTCCATTCCAAACTTCTTCACTATGTTCTTGGCATACTCAATTTGATAGATGAAGATAGAATCATCCATCTGGCTCACTTGAAGTCCAAGAAAATAGGTTAACTCACTTGCAAGAATTATCTCAAATTCAGATTGCATTTGTTTGATAAACTGTTGGACCATCTGGTCTGACATCCTACCAAATACAATGTCATCCACATATATCTGAGCAATCATGAGTTTTCCATCCTTTTCTTTAACAAACAGAGTCTTGTCTATTCCTCCATTTCTGTACCCATTACTGACAAGAAATTTTGTCAGACTTTCATACCAAGCCCTAGGAGCTTGCTTTAGTCCATAAAGAGCTTTCTTCAGTTTGAACACATGATCTGGAAAAGTAGGATCAATAAAACCCTTAGGCTATTAAACATACACTTCTTTATTCAAGTAACCATTCAAGAAGGCACTTCTCACATCCATATGGAATAACTTGAACTTTAGTAAACATGCCACTCTTAGCAGAAGTCTTATGGATTCAAGACGAGCAACTGGAGCAAAAGTATCATCAAAATCCACTCCTTCAATTTGAGTGTATCCTTGAGCCACAAGTTTGGCCTTATTTCTGGTGACAACTCTATTTTCATCAGATTTATTCTTATAAACCCATCTTGTACCAATGACATTTGTTCTTTCAGGCCTAGGAACCAAATTCCAAACTTCATTCCTCTTGAACTGACTTAATTCTTCTTGCATGGAATTAATCCAGAACTCATCAGTTAAAGCCTATTTCACATTCTTGGGTTCAATTTTAGAAACAAAACAAGAGTTGGATACCACCTCCCTTGATCTAGTGATAATCCCTTCATTAGGATTTCATATAATGAGTTCCTTAGGATGATCTTTCTGAATTATGATAGAGGGACCTTTATTGGCTTGGCTATTATCATCCTCAATATC